CTTTATTAATTGGCCCTATTTATAGCCACTGCAATAGAGGAGACTCTTAGCATTTTCCAATACCTCTGTAAAACCATCGAATCAAGAGTCTGCGGAGTAATAAATAAAAATAAAAATCACAGCGCAAAGCAGCACCATAAAACATCCTTAACATGCAGATCAAACAAAGTAAAGATGAGCCGTCATCAGTTAACGCATTAAAAATATATATCACAAAATCGATAAAATATCTGGTGATACTCCGTACTCCAAATGTTCTCTGAGTGTCTTTCTGATTTTAATGACTTACAGCCGTGTTTCTCCATCTCGGCAACTTTGAGATCTGGGGACTTTAATCCCCAGAATTCCCCCACAGCGGCTGGGGAATTCTGGGAGTTGAAGTCCACACAACTTAAATTTGCCAAGGTTGAAAAACAGGGGCTTGCAGACGGCTAACAACACGGCATTTGAACTGAGTGAATTTCTGGGGAGTAGCAAATATTCCTAAGTGGGGGTACAGCAGTAGAAAGATGCTTGTAATATAAACTCCACCTTAAAAATAAGCCCCAGTTAAGATTGTCAGCCAGACAGATGCATTTAGTACGTCCGTTGCAAAACACACGACGGACGTATTGAATTATAAAATAATAATACTAATATATAATTAAATATGAATAAATAATACAATTGACAATTATTTATTTGAATAAATATAGATTGTTGTACATGAAGAAAAAAAAGACATCACCTGAAAATAAGCCCTAATGTATCTTTTGGAGCAAAAATTAATATAAGACCTGGTCTTATTTTGGGGGGGAATACAGTAGTTCAGGGCCCAGATCTAGATGCTCACGTTGAACTGTATCCGCAAGCAATTGGCTGCTGTGTGCTGGACCAATTGAAGCTTCTGGGTAGTCTTCAAGGACCCCACCCCATGTAGAGAGTATTGCAGTAGTCCGAGTAAGTACTGATAAGTGCATGAGTTAATGTTGGGAGGCTTTTGTACCCCAGGTAGGGCTGCAGTCAGATGAAGTTGAACAAAGACTAAATAGAGCAGGGATCTTCAAACTTGGAAACTTGGCTGGCTGAGGAATTCTGGGAGTTGAAGTCCACATGCCTTAAAATTGTCAAGGTTGAGAAACACTGAACTAGAGTAACTTTTCCTAACTAGTACTGTTCATATGGTTGGCCATACAGCCTTCATAATCCACAGCAGTTAGAGACTGAAAGTCTCTATGGGAGAACCAAAATTAACCTCATTTAAAGGAATCAAACCTATACCTGGAGGGAATCCTGGAAATGTGACATAATCTATGGTAGTTTAATTTGTTTTTTTTAGATGCTGAGTCTACGCAGTCGAAGCTAGCTTAACTTATCTAACTTATTTTAAAAGTTTCCTTTAATTAAAGGAATCCAATTAAAGGAAAATTGAAATTGGCATGCAAGAAAACAAAACTTAACCCTCCTCGGTTATTTTTATTAATGAGAATATCCCTGGACCTACACCAACTCTATAAACCAAGGATGTGAAAACCCACAATTTATGGGGTTTAATTCCTTTTCTGTGCTCCCCAGAATCTTTTAGATGGGCAGAGAACATTTATGGACCTTGTTTGTTTGTTTGTTTGTTTAGGAAGGTGGGTTAAGGAAAGAAAAAAAAATGTCTTAAGTGTTCAACCACGGTCTTATTTCTTAACCTTTTCTTGTCTTAAAAACACAGCAGTGCTTTTCCTTAACAGTAGAGGGAGCTATAACACTAGCTATAACACTACCCTAGTGTTCTTGTTCCCCCTACTGATGACAAAAGGAGCTGCACTTTATTTGAGGGAAATTTTGTTGTGACCAAACCCCGTAAAAATAATAAAAACTAAAATAGAATTTAAAAAAAAGAAAAAATTAAGAGGAGGGAAACATGAGGATATCCTGCTCATTTTTACAATCCTGGACATACTCTGCAGTGCACGATACAATTCTTAAACCCATCTCAGAGCGTGCACACTCATGCAGTAGTGTTCTGAGGGGTCCTTGATGCTCTCTGAGCTTGGTAGTTTTCTTGCAGACATTTCACTACCAAACTATGTAACATCATCAGTGGTAGTAGAGCGTGGGTTTTATTCTCAATTTATATTCTAGTGGCTTGTCCTGTTGATGTCAAGTGTTGGTGGGAGTGGTCTGGGTGGTCCTTTGGTTAGATCAGTGATGGCAAACCTTTTAGAGACTGAGTGCCCAAACTGCAACCCCAAACCCACTTATGCATCGTCGGGTGCCGGGTGGGTGTGGCTCATTGGGTGCGCGTGTCTGCGGTGGTAACAGCAGACTGGGTGGGACTAAAAAGTTCAATCAATCAATTCCAAATTTGCAAGATCTTTTTTTTTCCCTGCAAGAAGTTGAAATTGACTGATTGAACCTTCTTTTTTTTTTTTTTGCACACGGCGGCGGTGGCCTAAAGCGAAAAGGTTTTATAAAACCCAGCTGAAGGCCTAGGACTGGGGCAATGGCGCATGTGCCCACAGAGAGGGCTCTGAGTGCCGCTTCTGGCACCCGTGCCATAGGTTCACCACCACTGGGTTAGACTGTTTACTGTTAGCTTGTTGGCAGTTCCTTGACTGGGGTATTGTTTACTTGTTGATTGTTGGGCTGATGTTAATAGGTATTCTTAAAAGTAAATGCATGGGTGGCTATTCTTCTCTGTGCACCAGACTCCTCCCCTAGAGGGCAACAATTGCCTTTTGCTCCCCTGTAAGGCAAATGCCGGAATGATCAACATAAACCAAAGAGAACTTCCAAGCAGCTTACAGATCACCAGTCTCAAACCAGCTTTAAAGTGCAGAAGATGGGCAGATCGCTGGAAATAGCACCAACAGATTCGTTGCCAGAAAGGAAACAGTTGCATCCAGGATCCCACTTAACGCTAAGATCGGTCCCCAGACTGTATTAACGGCCTCAGTCAAGGAAGAGAATGAAGACTGAGTGACTGGGCCATTCCCAGGAGATCCATTCTTTGCTTGTAAAGAAGCTAGGAACACAGCAGGAAGCTGAGACATACGGTTGCTGCAGTGTATAAAGGGGGATTGTGATTTAAGTACAGCTACTACAATGTTAGCTGCATGGCCCAGGCAGAGGAGAAGTTCCTTCTGTTTCATATTTTCCAAAGAAGAGGGAGTCAAGCTATT